CTGAGCCAATGACCAGTAAACATCGCAAAAGTATTGTTAAATCATTGGATTGGAATTCTTCTTTAGGAATGAAATACCTACTATAGATAAAGTACTGCAGGAGGTAAATGGAGATACAACGTTGCCAAATTTCAAACGATCAACTTTCCATGCGTTACTGAAGCATTTAAATTTCAAATGGAAAAAACGGGGTCGTAATAGTTTACTACTGGATAGAGAAGAAATTGTGCTATGGAGGAGGGATTATTTAACAAAAATTGGGAAATATAGAAATCAAAACAGGAAGATTTATTACCTTGATGAAACGTGGGTAAACGCAGGACACACTACAAGTAAAGTATGGGTTGATGATTCTGTAACTTCATCCAGGAGGGCCTTTCTAGATGGACTGTCCACCGGATTAAAAAATCCAGCAGGTAAATACGAGTAATAGACAACAATCGGATGTTTTTCAAACCTTGGGAACAAGGTTCTAAACATTAATTCCAGGGGGCAGATAAAACATATTACAAGTAACAAAACTTTTATAACTTTCGATAAAATGCGTGGATGTTTTATTGTCATTTTCATTTGTTAGAACTTTTTTAAGCCATGTTTTTATGTGTTTTCGATATTTCAATAATTTTTTAATATAATCTTAAAATATGTCGAATATTATAAACTTAAAAAAAGTTACTAAGTTTTATATTGTGTACCGTTCCTAATATTTCTAATCATTTTAATTCATACTTTAAGCTTCATAAAGTTATAATTTGTTAATATTAATATTTGCGCGTATTTCAGGTTCCTGATCATTCATTTTTTAAAGGTTTATAACTTTAAATTAAATTGTGAAGCGCTGAGTAATCATACGACGTTCAATATTCTTTCTTTCGATATGACTAAATAATCCCAATTATAGCAATCTGATACTCATGTCTCAATGTTTTTTCGCTGAATGTGATGAAAACATTTGTAAAAGGTTCGCTTATTGAAATAAATCTACACCAGTTAGTACTTCGATTTCCAGGTAAAGGGAAAAGGCTCATTATCTGCCATATTGCCAGTGAAGATGGATTTGTTGTTGACGGTCTGTGGTGCTTTGAGTCTAAGAAAACTGGAGATTACCACGAGGGCGAATCGTTTGAACAGTGGTTTTCAAAAATTTTACCGAACTTAGAGGAAAACGCAGTAATTGTGTTGGATAATGCGCCTCATCATTCTCAAAGAATGGAGAAGGTCCCAACAACGGCTTCAAGGAAAGTTGATGTTCAAAATTGGCTCCGCTCGAAAAATATCAACTTTGAAGAAGCAATGCTGAAAGTACAATTATTAAGAATTGTCAAGGATCACAAGGCGGAATATCAAAAATACGCCATTGACGAAATGGCAGCAAGTCAAAATAAAACTGTGCTCCGTTTACCTCCATACCATTGCGAGCTCAATCCCATTGAGCTCATATGGGCAGAGGTTAAAAATTATATAGCTAAGCACAATACAACTTTTAAATTTTGTGACCTCAAAGAACTTTTCAAAGAAGCAGTAGAATTAATAACAACGCAAAAATGGCAAAACTGTATTAAGCACGTGAAAGACAAAGTGGAAAAGAGAATGTGGGAACTGGACAATATTTTAGAGGAACAAGTCGAATTATTAACGTGGGTGCTTCAAGCAGTAGCGATGATGAAAGCTCATCAAGCTCATCTTTCCAATAAAAGATGTCGTTCATCAAATTCGGTAAGTTATAAGTAATTATAAAGCTACTGTATTTTTTAATTAATTATTGACATTTTTGAACCCATTTTGGCAAAACCTATTCAAGAATCTACTTTCTGACAATGTTCAACCAAGCACATTTTTTTACGTTTTGAACGTTTTAATTTGGTTACATATTTACCTAGAAATCAAAAAATATACTAATCAATATTTTGAACGTTTTAATTTGGTTACATATTTACCTAGAAATCAAAAAATATACTAATCAATATTCTAAAAGCAATTTTAAGAGATATACGATTATTTTTAATTTAGGCTAATTTAAACGCCATTTTGAGATTATATTCGACTGTATTTCACCAAATATCAGGCGGCATCCGAAGCTGGAAATCGAAGCGAAAATTTTGAAACCCTTATGTATATTTACATCATTATATATTTCTTACCCCACCCCCACATGATCCTATATCCATTACCAATCGTATACACATCGAATTGTGCTAATTTACTACAAAGTTACGCAAAGCAGCATCTACTATCTAAAATAGGTACTGCGTGACTCTTAATACGTCCCTGCCGAATGTTACAGCGTTCGATGATCACGTGGTCTTGTTTATGTCCGGTCTATCTCTTATTTGAATATACTGTAATAGCAGAATAGTTGTTGATACCTCCGATATCAATTTTATTTTTAGCCTCAGACATTTTAAAATCATCAGGGGAAAACCTGAGAAATTATTGAGTATTATCGTCATATTAAGAGGGGTCCTAGCACTGAAGCTTGTGATCCCCTGAAGGGACATTCTGTAAAATTGAAATACTCATGCCTAAAGTCACAATGAACAATTTTCACTCTATTGCGTTCGTTTGTTGTTGTTGTCCTCTACAACACCGTATATTTTGGCAATTGAACATTTTCACGAAATATTAGCAATATCTTTTAATCGTGCTGTAGAATCTGGAATTATTAGACAGGCAAAATGATTTCGTATATTATGAATATCGCTGACAATATACAAGTCGATGCTGCGTTTGAACTAAAAATATGTAGTTCAAGAGCGAAATATCCAGCCAGCACTTCCCTTACATTTCTGATCAAGGGTACAAATACTATCACTTCGATTAGACCTACACAGAAACGATTATGATACTGCCTACAATTCGGAGCAAGGTTGACAGAACTTTTATTTATTGGCAATTCAATGGTCATAATGGTTGGTCAAAGACATCATAAACTGCCGTCCAGGTTACGCCCAAATTGAAAGTACCGTATCAAACGCTATTGATGTGTCAACTTCATGGATTTGATTTCTTATGCTATTTACTAGTTAGAATGTTTTTGCAAAACAAATTCAAAAGATAGCACTGCTAGGAACAGCCCACATTTTGCGGAGAACCCTTTCCGACTGAATACCTTAGTACTCAGGCAGAGTTCCGGCCAAGCTCATCCCTTCCTCTAGAAAGTGCAATACAGTATAATAATAATAATTTATTCATCCTATGGATCACAAAGTGATATATACTAAATGATATATAAATCCGAACACCCAGTTTAAATGGTTTTATTTTAATAAAAGTTGGTGAATGTATTTATATTACTGTAAATAACAAGTGAAAAACTTTTCAGCCTTATCAGTTGGACATTCCGGTTTTTATACTGCTTTTTTTAATTCACTAACGCTCTAAAAATGAATATTTCAGCCGCAGTAAAGAATCAACGTTGGCGGATTTTGGTTCTTGACATCCTTTACGATCGGTTACGAAGCCTAGAGTACGGAGACCTGTACGATTTCGTCAACTTAGTGAGTTTGATAGGGGCCGTATAGTGGGAGTTCGGGAAGCTGGACTTTCTTTTCGGGCAATTGCAGTTAGAGTGCAAAGAAGTGTAGACACTGTGGTTAGGTGTTGTCAGGCATGGCTTCGAGAAGGCAATACGCAAAGAGCAAGGGGCACTGGACGCCGCCGTAGAACAACAGACCGTGAAGATCGCCGCCTAAGATTATTAGCCTTAAGGGACCGTTTCTCCACTACCAGGTCCATTGCAAATGAATGGTTTGCAGAACACGGAAGACCTATTGGCATGCGAAGTGTTTACCGACGAATGAGAAGTTTTGGCTTGTTTTCATACCGGCCACACTGGGTCCTCCCTTTAACTCGAGAACACCGACGTAATCGCCTTGAGTCTCGATTTTGTTTAGGCATGCACGATGGTTGTGCCAGGGTTAGAAGGCGACGTGGTGAAAAGAGGAATCCACAGTTTTTTGTTGAAAGACATGTTCATCACACTGTTGGAGTTATGGTTTGGGGTGCTATAGCTTATGGTTCCAGGTCACCTTTAATCTTCATCAGAAGTAACATGAACGCGCAGCGTTATATCCACGAAGTTCTAGAACCCCATCTTTTACCCTATCTTGACACCGTGGCAGATTCAACTTTCCAACAAGATAATGCCCGACCACACGTTGCAAGAGTCACAATAGACTTCTTTCAACATAATGATGTCACATTGTTACCATGGCCACCAAGATCTCCCGATTTATCCCCAATTGAGCACGTGTGGGATATGATGGGTAGGAGATTGCTCAATTTGCAACGTCCTCCTCAGACTCTAGAAGCACTTCGAGAGGAGTTGGTGGTTGCCTGGAATGAGATACCACAGGAGAACATTGACCACCTGATCAGAAGCATGCCTAGGCGCGTTGGAGAACGCGTAGCACATCAGGGTGCATCCACACATTATTAAAGGTCAAAGGGCTTTAAAGCAGTGCAATCATTTTGAAATTTTTATCATTTACTTATTATGCTTCATTAAGTACTTATACAAAATGTTATTAAAATAAAACCATTTAAACTGGGTGTTCGGATGTATATGTCACTTAGTATAGATAAGTCAATTGAATATTGGTATAAACTGGCAAGACGAGTAACTATGCTGGAACCAGCAATGAGTCAGACAAAGGAACTGCATCTAAATCCAAGGCAATATTTGTCTTTGTTTCACCATATTCTGCTGCACAGGATTTAAAAATTATTACGCGACTCATTATAAGAACCGTTGATATGCGGGATATTGCGGCTGCAGTGCAACTGATACGTATCTTGCGACTTGACTTCAATTTTTAACGAGACACCATTTCCAAGGTCATACGTACAGCGAAATAAACCAAAAGGAAGTTAACCTTCACATTGATCTTACACTGGTACGTTCTACGGTACGAAAATAACAGTATTAAGAACGACATTTTTTTTGCAATTCTACATTTGAAGCAAGTTTTTCATATCCTGTAGAGTTCCGCAGTTGTTACGTAATGCTCGCCAGACTGGATGGGTTTACAATCGGTTGATCAGGGTTCAGCAGTTCAAACAGAATTGATTTTTACGGCGATTGTAATTCGGATTTCGATGGAATTTTCACGCAAGGCCAAGGACGAAGAAGATTCGTAGTTTATGAAAATACGGGTATATATTAAGCCATATTCATAAAAGAGAAGCATATCCTCGGATGCATAAGGTAAAAGTATAAGGTCTTGCTTCGGAGAAAATGGTAGAAGTACGTATATAAGCATATCCTTGTTTTCATATTCATAATGATTACCTTATACTCGCGAGGAAATCCTCCAAGAAGAAGTAAAAGGTTGACTGGTATTTGTATCTTGAGCGACAGGTCATGACTTGTAGCAGCTTGTAGTTGACGTGGGAGTTCGTTCACTCAGCATTACTGGCAGTTGTACTCCAGAGCTTACACAGATACTAAAGGCTTATTAAAAAAAATCAACAACATGAAATCGAGATTGAAGAAAAAACAGATTTATAAAAAACTTCTTAATAAGGCAATTAAATTGTTAGATTGGGAAAGAAAGTTGCTGAAAGCTATGGAAGGTGACTGTAATCCTACAATTGGCAAAATTAGAGGTGCCATTCAGGTTGATAGTGTTCAAGAAGAAGGAAGTGAACTATACCAAGTGACATATAAATCCGAACACCAAGTTTAAATGGTTTTATTTTAATAAAATTTTGTATAAGTACTTAATGAAGCATAATAAGTAAATGATAAAAATTTCAAAATGATTGCTCTGCTTTAAAGCCCTTTGACATTTAATAATGTGTGGATGCACCCTGATGTGCTATGCATTCTCCAACGCGCCTAGGCATGCTTCTGATCAGGTGGTCAATGTCCTCCTGTGGTATCTCATTCCAGGCAACCACCAACTCCTCTCGAACTGCTTCTAGAGTCTGAGGAGGACGTTGCAAATTGAGCAATCTCCTACCCATCATATCCCACACGTGCTCAATTGGGGATAAGTCGGGAGATCTTGGTGGCCATGGTAACAATGTGACATCATTATGTTGAAAGAAGTCTATTGTGACTCTTGCAACATGTGGTCGGGCATTATCTTGTTGGAAAGTTGGATCTGCCAGGGTGTCAAGATAGGGTAAAAGATGGGGTTCTAGAACTTCGTGGATATAACGCTGCGCATTCATGTTACCTCTGATGAAGATTAAAGGTGACCTGGAACCATAAGCTATAGCACCCCAAATCATAACTCCAACAGTGTGATGAACATGTCTTTCAACAAAAAACTGTGGATTCCTCGTCGCCACGTCGCCTTCTAACCCTGGCGCGACCATCGTGCATGCCTAAACAAAATCGAGACTCGTCACTAAAGACAATACTGTTCCATTCCTGATCCCAGAGTGACCGTTGTCTGCACCACTCAAGGCGATTACGTCGGTGTTCTCGAGTTAAAGGGAGGACCCAGTGTGGCCGGTATGAAAACAAGCCAAAACTTCTCATTCGTCGGTAAACACTTCGCATGCCAATAGGTCTTCCGTGTTCTGCAAACCATTCATTTGCAATGGACCTGGTAGTGGAGAAACGGTCCCTTAAGGCCAATAATCTTAGGCGGCGATCTTCACGGTCTGTTGTTCTACGGCGGCGTCCAGTGCCCCTTGCTCTTTGCGTACGGCCTTCTCGAAGCCATGCCTGACAACACCTAACCACAGTGTCTACACTTCTTTGCACTCTAACTGCAATTGCCCGAAAAGAAAGGCCAGCTTCCCGAAGTCCCACTATACGGCCCCTATCAAACTCACAAAGTTGACGAAATCGTACAGGTCTCCGTACTCTAGGCATCGTAACCGATCGTAAAGGATGTCAAGAACCAAAATCCGCCAACGTTGATTCTTTACTGCGGCTGAAATATTCATTTTTAGAGCGTTAGTGAATTAAAAAAAAAGCAGTATAAAAACCGGAATGTCCAACTGATAAGGCTGAAATTTTTTTCACTTGTTATTTACAGTAAGATAAATACATTCACCAACTTTTATTAAAATAAAACCATTTAAACTTTGTGTTCGGATTTATATGTCACTTGGTATAGTTCAGGTCATGACCTAATGTAAGGCAAAATTTTGTCTTACTAAAAAGATTGTAGCATTCTAGATTTTCAGCATTTGATTTTTTGTTGCAAAACAGGAATGCGTCATTTCCTGAAATAACATCCTTTTTGGACCAGGTTTGTTTCAGAATACTCAGAATTAAGCATTTTATTCCAACCATTGTTATATTTTTTAAGAAGGCGAAAAACACACATAAAGACTGCAGCAAAGTCTAAACATCGCTAAAAACCTCTTTCTCATGTCTGACCTTGTAGTATGACAGACCAAGTGTGATCCCCATAACAGCCGAAAAAGCTTGGTTGGTTATTGGAAATTTTTAAATTGTAATCGTATTATTCGCGCTTTGCTATTACCTTTTAATTGCAGTTATAATGGAGGAGGGTCAGTTTTCGTAAATTTCAGAAAATGGCATTTTCTGACTTGGAGTCAAAAAAGGATAGATTTTGTATTGAAGGACAATTTATATTGAATTTATTAATGTTACGAGCTTAATAAAACAAAAATCTAGTGATTTTATCTGTAATCAAACCTTATACCGAAAAAAGCTTATAAAAAATTGAATCCAAATATACAGGGTGATGCATTTGAAATTTTTGAGAAAAAGTACAATTCGCGTTTTTGCCCACCCTGTATGAGCAAATGTGAAAATTCGAAAAAATAACAAATAAGATAAAAGCTGAGGTGTGTAAGTTTTTTTTTGATACCAAATTCAGCACTCCAAATTTCAAAATGGCGAAGTGGACGGTTTTTCTGGACAAAACACCTTACATCTCAGTAGCTAATTACCAAAACCCCATGGTATATCGTATCAATCTTCTTCCTATGAATTGGTTTATTCAAATATTAAATAAAATTTGAGGCATTCCGTTTAAAAAATCACAACTTTGATATGTAGGTCAAAATTGCTATATTTTGGAAATGTGCCCTCAAATGTTATGTATAACAAACCATAAACAGATTTTCCCAAAATGTATGTGTTTATGAGTAATATTCCGTCCACACGTGGATGGGCCACCCTGTATATTTTTTCGTAAAAAAAAATTCTATATCTGCTAGAATAACCATTATCATGCTCGAGGCTGACTCAATTTTGCAACACAGTAACAGCAGAATGCAAATAGTAATATTATTTCAAAATTGACTATAAATCCTACGTTTTTGACTACTTGGCACAGTGGTCATACTAATCCTTTATTTTCTGGATACCCTGTACGCTTCTGATCCATCTTGTATAATTCTCACTGACTTTTCGAGCATGTTTTTACCTTGACCATGATACGTTTCTCCACGCTAGCAGTTATCCAATTTCAACAAATTCATGTGTGACGATATAAACACGGCAGCAGCCATTTGTTTACCATAAACTTCTGTTTTGAACTCGATTCAGGATGTCTATTTTTGCAACCGGTTTTGCTCACACAGGAAGGTAACCTATTGGAAAAACTATGGGAACCTGACTTAAAAAAAACAAATAGAGCGATACCTGTAGGATCATTATTTCATTTGTAACATCGCAAAGTTCACGGTCATCTAGAGGGTGATTTTTTAAGAGGTATAGGATTTGATTTTCAAAAAAAACACAAAAAATTTGAAAAAACGATTAAATCTTTATTTGAGTCGATAGAACGGTCGATATAATTTATTTTTTAAAGATTATTTCATGTAAATGTTGGCCGCGGCTCCGCTTTAGATGGCCCATGCGCAAGGTCCAATTTTGGCACACTCTCTCCAACATATCGGCCGGTATCTCACGAATAAATGCTTCAATATTGGATTCCAGTGCGTCAATCGTTGCTGGTTTATCCCTTTAGACATTAGCCTTAACATGGCCCCACAAGAAATAGTCCAACGGCGTTAAATCACACGATCTAGGCGGCCAATTGACGGGCCCCAAACGTGAGATAAACTGTTCACCGAACTTGCCTCTCAATAGGGCCATTGTTTCGTGTGCGGTGTGGCATGTGGCACCGTCTTGTTGAAACCACATGTCAGCCAAGTCCAGCTCTTCCATTTTGGGCAAAAAAAAGTTTGTTATCATCGCACGGTAGCGCTCGCCATTCACAGTTACGTTCCAGCCATTGTCGTCTTTGAAGAAGTATGGCCCGATGATGCCACCGGCCCATAATCCACACCAAACAGTGATTTTTTCGGGATGCATTTATAGCTCTTGCAATGCTTCTGGCTGGTCTTCACTCCAGATGCGGCAATTTTGCTTGTTAACGTACCCATTCAACCAGAAATGAGTTTCGTAACTGAACACAATTTTTCGATAAAAATGTGGATCTTCCTCCAACTTTGCCAGCGCCCATTCACCAAATTGGAAACGTTGTGGGAGGTCGTGCACCAGCTGTATCTTATAAGGTTTTACACCCAAATCCTGTCGCAAAAGTTTCCACGTAGTGGAGTAACAGAGGCCCAATTGCTGCGAACGGCGGCGAATCGACATTCCACGGTCATCACTAACACTGTCGGATACAGCCGCAATATTTTCTTCAGTTCTCACTCTACGTCTGCGTTTTACCGAGCATGAATTTTGATAGTAAAATTCAATAATTTGCAAGCGTTGTTCGTTCGTAAGTCGATTCATGGTTAAATTATAGACCAAACTGAACAAGTTTGACAATGACACAAGACACGATTCACGCGTCCTCTGTCAAAAACAGTGTTGATGAATTTTTCATATATTGGTTGAACTGACCACGCATCCTGCCCCTTACAGCACTGCCGTCCTGTCCCCCCTGGGTAACTCAGATCACGGTGTTGTGGAGGTTAGGTTTCGGTCAGAAGCCGCTGTGGCAGCAGAAACTCGCACAGGCCGCAAAACTTGGCATTACGGACATGCCAACTGGGAGGGGCTCAGAAACTTCTTCTCTAGCTCTCCTTGGAGAGACGTCTGTTTCACTGACGCGGATGCGTCGACTGTCTGTTCTTCAATAACCGAAATTATCCACGTCGGAATGGAGGAATACATCCCTCACACAGTGAAAGTTCCTAAACCAGGGTCCAACGGCTGGTTCAACAAATCGTGTGACACTGCTCGCCAGCAGAAGATCAAGGCC